GTGAGGACGAGTTCGGCTAAGCGGATGAGGGTGTCAGTGGAGGGGGACTGGTCGGGCCTGCGGGACAGGAAGAAGCGGAGGGCCTTTAGGCCATCTGTATGGGGAATGCAGGTGTAGAGGGACTGGACGTCCATGGTAAAGATGGTGTTGGGGACCAGGGAATTGGAAGTTCTGGAGGAGGTGGAGGGCGTGGGTGGTGTCACGGACATAGGTAGGGAGTTCCTGGACCAAGGGGGAGAAAATGGAGTCCAGATAGTTGGAGATCAGTTCGGTGGGGCAGGAGCAGGCGGAGACAATGGGTCGACCAGGGCATTCAGGTTTGTGGATTTTGGGAAGGAGATAGAAGCGGGCAGTGCGGGGTTGGGGAACGATAAGATTGGAGGCCGTGGGTGGGAGGTCACCTGAGGTGATGAGGTTGTGGATGGTTTGGGAGATGATGGTTTGGTGCTCAGGGGTGGGGTCATGATCAAGGGGGCGGTAGGTGGTGGTGTCGGAGAGTTGGCGTCTGGCCTCGGCGACGTCAAGGTCAGTGCGCCATACTACAACTGCGCCTCCCTTGTCCACGGGTTTTATGGTGAGGTTGGGATTGGAGCGGAGGGAGCGGAGGGCTGCACGCTATGCGGGGGAGAGGGTGGAGTGGGTGAGAGGGGTGGAGAGGTTGAGGCGATTGATGTCTCGACGGCAGTTGGAGATGAAGAGGTCGAGGGAGGGTAGGAGGCCTTGGGGTGGTGTCCAGGAGGAGGGGGTGTGTTGGAAGCGGGAGAAGGGGTCAGTAGATGGAGGGTTAGGCTCGCGGTTGAAGTAGTAAGCGTGGAGGCGGAGGCGGTGGAAAAACTGCTCTATGTCCAAGCGTGAGCGGTATTCGTTGACGTGTGGGTGGAGGGGGACAAAGGTGAGCCCTTTACTGAGGACTGACCGTTCGTCCTCAGTAAGGGGGAGGTCTGGGGGGATGGTGAAGACTCGGCAGGGCTGGGTGCTATTGTCCCCTCTGGAGCTGCTGGCTGTGGAGGCTGTGGGTGGAGCGACGTCGACGTCGGCTGTGGGCGGAGTTGCGCCGGCGGTGGGCGGAGCGGGGTAGGCGGCGGCAGTAGCAGTGACGGTAGGTGCGACTTAAGTGTCGGTGGTGTTGGTCTCGGAAATGGAGGCGGTGGCATCGGCAGTGATGGCGTTCGCTGTCCCGCAAGTGGGGAACCCGACGGTGGCGGATGTGACATCATCTGTGGGTTCTCCGACAGTGGCCTCATGGCCAATAGCGGCGGGCACATTGTGGGGAAGGTCCTGGGTACGGCTGGGGATTTGGGGGGTGGAGGAAGCCCGTTTTGGGTGGTAGGCACCAGTAAGTTTACTGTACTTATGGTTTTTAGTGTCCAATAAAGCTGAGTAGAATTGTGAGTTCAGGTTGTGGATCCTATGAAGAATGAAAAACAGGAGAGGTCCTTTGCAGGTCTGGGAGAGGGATGCTCTGAGCTGGGGTAGGCTTGATTGTAGTGCCTGGAGATGCCGGCGCATTGCTGCAAGTGTGTGTTTCAGGAGTCGCAGGGAGAAACGCTTCTGTAGGATCTCAATGCCATGAGTGTAGATATTGTCACGGTTGGGGCCAAATTGCGAAGGCTTGAATGTGGATTGTAGTCCATTGGGGATGATCTGGTTCCGTAGGCAGGTACTAAGAAAGGTGATGTGGCTGTCGTACCTGGTTTGCTTCAGGACATGGTCGAGCAGTTTCAGGGCCGAAGAGATTACGAGAGAGTTGCAGTAGGAGAGAGATCCCCTGAGGTTTGTCCGGAGGGTAACTTCTTCAGGTTAGGCATCCTTAGAAGAGGCTTCGAAGTGGGGTTAAAATTGAATCAGAGATAGTAGGAACTGCAGATGCTGAAGAATCCGAGACAACAAGGTGCAGGGCTGGATGAACACAGCAGGCCAAGCAGCATCATAGGAGCAGAAAGGCTGACGTTTCGGGCCTAGACCCTTCATCAAAAAAGGGAAAGGGGAAGGGGGTTCTGAAATAAATAGGGAGAGAGTGGGAGGCAGATAGAAGATGGATAGAGGAGATTTCACAAGCTTCAAAATCTCCCCTCCCCCTACCGCATCCCAAAACCAGTCCAGCTCGTCCCCACCTCCCTAACCTGTTCTTCCTCCCACCTATCCCCTCCTCCCACCTCAAGCTGCACCCCCATCTCCTACCTACTAACCTCATCCCGTCCCCTTGACCTGTCCGTCCTCCCTGGACTGACCTATCCCCTGCCTAACTCCCCACCTACACTCACCTTTACTGGCTCCATCCCCACCTCTTCGACCTGTTTGTTTCCTCTCCACCTATCCTCTCCTCTATCCATCTTCTATCCGCCTCCCCCTCTCCCTATTTATTTCAGAACCCCCTTCCCCTCCCCCTTTTCTGATGAAGGGTCTAGGCCTGAAACGTCAGCCTTCCTGCTCCTATGATGCTGCTTGGCCTGCTGTGTTCATCCAGCTCTACACCTTGTTGTCTCGGATCTTACATTCTCGTCCCATTTGCCAGCAGTTGGCCTGTAAGGTCACCCCTCAGCCTCCGAGAAAATAGCCCAAGCTTATTCAACCTCCCCCCATAGTTCAAACCCTCCAACCTTTTGAGGCAGAAAGCAGAGCATATTCAAGGAAAAGCTAGGAATATACATGAGAAAGAAAGAAATAGGTGTACAATATTGAGGTGGTAGATAAGAGAGTTGGGAGGAAGCTGGCAATGAGCATAAAGACCGTTTTAAACCAACTGGGCTGTACACTCAATGTAACTCGACAGAACTATTTACCAAATCACATGAAGCAAAATATTTGCAATATGAAACTACAAACAATATATAGGGTCAGGAAACATGGTCTTCTAGAACATAAAAGAGAATGAAAACATTGGCTTTTCTCTTGGTATATAAATTTACTTAATTTGTGGGCTGATGCAAGCTTGGTAACCACAAAAGAAAAGCACAGATGCTCTCATTATTAGCAAAATAAAACAAATACACAAATTTGGTTTACTTCGGTAGCTTATACAGATGCACCAATGCATAATTAATTCTGCTTAATTGCATATCTGCAAAAGGCACCCCGGTGAATTTTAAATCTTGAACTTAAATCTATTCCTAAGGAATCCTGTTCTGCCAGCAACTGCAACTGTGTTTTTCAAATTCAACCCCACACCTTCCCCATTATTCGTTGACAAAAGTATTTCTAACAGCTGATTGCTCACTGGCTGATAAAGCTCAATTTTTCAATTTGTTTTTAATCACTGCAAACAAAAAGCATTGTTCAAAACTACTTTAATCTTCAAAGTGTGTACCCTACAGGAGGATATCTGTGATGTCAGTTACTCCGTTCCAATCAGGGAACTTGAAAACCCTTAACCACGTACACAATGTCCTCATATTATAATCTAAATGAGATCTCTTCTTTCTTTATTGACATCAACAGTTAGATGGCACCGTGGACCACCGGGTCCCCCTGGGATACGTGGCCCACCAGGCCCACCAGGATACCCAGGAAAATCAGGGATTGGACTGCCAGGACAACCTGGTTCTCCAGGACGACCAGGACCGCAAGGGATGCCAGGAATTGGAAAACCCGGCATTCCAGGAGCACCAGGAAAGTCAGGACAAAGAGGACCTCCTGGACCCAAAGGTATCATGGGGCCTCATGGAATGCAAGGACCGAAAGGCCAGCAAGGTCCTCGAGGGTATCCTGGGTCAGCGGGAATTTCATATCCTGGTAAACCAGGCCCACCAGGGCCTGTTGGATCTATAGGACCGATGGGACCACGTGGGGAGAAAGGAGAACAAGGGTATCCTGGTCCTATTGGTGCAAAAGGAGAAAAAGGAGTTGGAATTCCAGGACAACCAGGGGAACGAGGTCCTCCAGGGCAACAAGGACCACAAGGAATCCGTGGTGAACCAGGATATGGAAAACCAGGCGCCCCTGGTCCTGCTGGTTTACGAGGAACAAAGGGCGAAAAAGGCACAGCAGGTCCACCTGGAGTTTCTGGTGTCCCAGGTCAGAGAGGCTCCCCAGGATTACCTGGGCCATCAGGAATTGGAAAACCTGGAGCAGATGGCACACCAGGGTTGCCAGGACCTCCTGGGCCCAAGGGGCCTCCTGGTGCTCAAGGTCCACCAGGTGATTCTGGCCTTCCCGGTTTTGGAAGGCCAGGCCCACCGGGACTTAAAGGGGACCCTGGTACCCCAGGCCCAGCAGGATATCGTGGAGAGAAAGGGGAGAAAGGTGAGCCTGGCAGCCCAGGGAGCTCGGGAATGTCTGGATCAACTGGTCCACCTGGGCCACAAGGTTTGAGAGGTGCACCTGGGGTACCAGGCGCACCAGGACCAAAGGGCATGACTGGTCCAATTGGAGCGCAAGGGTACCCAGGTCCAAAGGGTGCGATAGGCCCCGGGGGAGCCCCAGGAAAATCTGGAATTCCAGGCGAGCCTGGTTTACCAGGCGCTGACGGACCAATGGGACCACCTGGTCCAAAAGGCGCTATCGGACCCGTCGGGCCACCTGGTAAGCCAGGTGACAGTGGTCTTCCAGGTCGTCCTGGGCCACCAGGATTCCGAGGTGAAGTTGGATTAACTGGACCTGCCGGACCACCAGGTCCAAGAGGTCTACCCGGATTTCAAGGTCCTCCTGGATTCCCTGGAGAGAAAGGAGAGCCAGGACCTCCAGGTCCCCCTGGACCACCAGGTCTTTCTTCTAGTCTTAATGAAAAAACTCCGTATGGCCGACCAGGCCCACCAGGGGCACCCGGCCCTCCAGGCCCACCTGGACTCCCTGGTCCACCAGGACGCCCAGGAGAAGTTGTGAATCCTGGGAAATATGGAGGCTATAATGGTTATGCAACACCGGATGTCATGAGATCATATCCGGCTTTCACAGCCATTCTTTTAGAATCATTTCCACCTGCAAGACAACCAATAGCTTTTAACAAAATACTGACTAATCAAAACAACAATTATGATCCCACTACTGGGATATTTACATGTCAAATACCAGGCATCTATCAATTTTCTTACTATATACAAGTCAAAGGAGGAAATGTTTGGGTTGGACTGTTCAAAAATAATGAACCTGTGATGTACACATACGATGACTATACAGAAGGTTATGTTGATCAAGCCTCAGGAAGTGCTATAATACAATTATGTGAAAATGATCATGTCTTTGTTCAATTACCTTCAGAAGAGTCCAATGGTTTACATTCCTCTGATTATATGCATTCTTCATTCTCTGGGTTTTTAATTAGTCAGACATTTTGATGTACATCAATCACATTCCGTCTACGATCAACCGCCAATGCATCCTCTCTGAATCCACCAAAGTGATGAGCTGACAACTCTCCTGCTGAGTGCTGGCAGCTCACACCAGATATTTCAGCAAGGCCTGACGATGAAGGAAGTGCAGCCCTTTCTTTGGAGCCATCAGTCAGACATAGTGCAGGTCCTGCTCACTGTTTGCTCCAGTCTAAAGGTTATCAAACTATCCCATTACTCTCTCTGGCTTTTATGGCATAGGTTTTGGGTGAAACAGTAGTTCATAAGAAGTACATTGTAATCGTCACTTAAGTACTACAGTTTTAAAGTGGATTCAATGCCAGTAATCCCCACCGTAACCCAGAAAAAAGGAACTGAGAATTCTTATTATGTTGAATGATGTGGTTAGAATTTATTGCTTCAAGATTTTAAAATTCAATATCAAATATTAACTTGCTACTACTACTTCACTAATAGAGTAATTTTAATCCATTTCAATGAGAAACATCCAAGTCCCTTCAAATGAAACCTAAAATTGTTTGCAAAGAAATAGCATATACAAACACCGTTTGTGGCAGGCAGGAAATACAAAGTCTCACACCAAATGAGGTTACACTAACAAGTGGCAATTTTCCTGAACATACTTCCACAACTTTATTTTCTCGCATTGTGTTGCACATTGAAATGCCACAAAATAATTCAAAATTACAAAAAACAATGATTCCTGTTCGCTACGTGGATCTATCCAAAACTAATCTATTTAATAATTATGTTACAAAAGTGATAAATTCTAAACTTATCATTTAATTATGTCACAATTAAATCATAGGAAGGTGCTTTTGTTAATATTGATGCTACTGCATTGACTGGAGCAATAGAAATTAATGTTGCACATTTGAATAGCAAACTATAAAGGCAATGTATAAACCCAAAGTTCTTCTGTCAGAACACCTCATGAGAAGAGAAGTTGTAATGAAATGCACTTGTAGCCACAAAGCTGTTCATTATTTCAAATTTTGTATTTTATATATAAAAACACTAATAAAATTGTTTATGATGCTACTCTATGTGTGACTTACTTCTATTCAATGTGAATTATGGAAAATTGCTAATAATGTTGAGCCACAAATTAATAAGATTTATTAGAAGATGTATACTGATACTGAATTGGCTGCAGGAGGCAGGGGTGGAGCTGACTTTTCATCCCATTTTCTCTGCATCTCAACTTTTGATCAAGAGAGGTATCTGCCCATTTGAGCAGCACTTTAGAAGCAGGTTAATGGAATTCTGAGTCATCCTTGAGATAGAGCTTACATTTTGCAATCTTAGGACATTTGAAAGCACGTTGCAGCCAAGCAAATGCAGTACCCAGTTCATCCTTCTGCAGCCAGTGGGGCTCATGCCTGCTGAAACTTGTTTGGCTTTCATTCAGGGCTTTCCAAAGACCCCAAAAAAGGTGAAGAACTAAGATAATCAATCCAAGGAAACCTTATGTTGCCTGGTAACCTGCCAAAGTTTCTGCTTACACCTTAGAAATTTGGTTTGAAAAGCTGTTCAAATGGTGACCATGTGACCAATGTCTTTTAGGGAAGGAAAGCTGCCATCATTATCTGGTCTGGTCTACATTTTACTCCAGTCCCTCAGCAATGTAACTGACTCTTAACTTCCCTCTGGGCAATTAGAGATGGGCAATAAATGCTGGCTTAGCCAGTAACATTCATAGCCCACAAAAGAAGAAGAGAATCTCGGGCAGGTAGCTGTTGTGCATTTCCACAAATGAGAATGAACTGACTCAAATATTAAAATGGCTATTATTACTCTCTTATTACTATATTGTTACAGTAATATTACTTTCCACCCCTGAAGTACAAGTCAAGAGCCTAATAAAGTACAAATATTTTGCACATACAGCAGTGTAATGAGTACAGTACTAACGGGTCCTAAGAGCCTATATGCTCAGCTGATAATGAAGAGATGTACACAAAAGCCATGAAATCAGAAGGAAATAAATAAAAGCAAGTCCAAAATATAGAAAAAAAAATCAAATATTATCACCCCCTAGTGCAAAAGGTGATTTTATGAACTTGTAATTCTGACAGGATCTCCGGTTGTAAGGGACAGGAATTCTGTCACACAGCATTTGATAAGGCCGGCAATACCCTTGCCATTGGGATAGACTTTGACATCAAGAAGTCACTTTGTGAAACAAAAAATGCCCAAAGAGGAAAGTGCACTCTTCCCTGCCCGCACTCCCAGAATCTGCCAAGCAACAGTCATAACTTAAACAGCTGGTCCTCCACATAGAGTGTCGCTCCCATCCCCATCATTAACTAAATGTCAGTGGAGGGCAAGAGACCTTCAAGTGGTCACTTCAGTGGTACTTTGGTTCTGGGTGAGCAGGCTGTCCATCACATTCACTGGGAAGACAATTTACTGAGAAAAGGCATCTTTTACATCCAAAGGATATGATTTTGGTTGGAAGCTCAATTTGGAGTCAAGTTTAATAGCTATGTTGTTCTCACTCTATTTCAATTCAAGATGTTAGCCATGGAGATGACAAGGGGATAGCATTCATGGTAGGGGCTGAAGACAATAGTTTCAATCTTTCTCAGTCTTTAAAGGAAACAGTGGTTCATTAGGGGGTAGCGGCCTCAGAATTGACACTTACAATGGAAACAATCTCAAATAGTTCCTTCTCAAGAGGTTCAATTAGGAATAGTGCATACACACAGAATGATGGGGTATTACTTGGTACCTACATTTTTTTGCATGATGCACTCTTCATTTTTCACCAACTGCGAGAAGGTCAGACATTTTACCAGAGGAGAAACCAACAGGTATATCTTTAATTGCTAACATTCTACGTTGTGGAAAGTTCCTTTCAGATCGTTAAATGTGTTTTTTTTTCCCCCGAGCATTTCTTGTCTGGGTTAGTTCAACTCTTGGATTTAAATCAGTCTTGTATGTAAATCTCCCATTGTCCAAGATCATCTTTGACAATGGGAAGGAACAAATGAACAAACAGCCAGGGTTGGAGGGTTTGAGCTATAGGGAGAGGCTGAATAGGCTGAGGCTGTTTTCTCTGCAGCATTGGAAGCTAAGGGGTGACCTTATAGAGGTTTATAAAATCACGATGGGCATACATAGGGTGAATAGCCAAGGTCTTTTCCCCAGCGTAGGGGAGTCCAAAACTAGAGGGCATAGGTTTAAGGTGAGAGGGAAAAGATTTAAAAGGGACCTTAGGGGCAACTTTTTCCACAGCGTGGTGCGTGTATTGAATGAGCTGCCAAAGGAAGTGGTGGAGGCTGGTACAATTACAACATTTAAAAGGCATCTGGATGGATATATGAATACAAAAGGTTTAGAGGGGTATGGGCCAAATTCTGGCAAACGTGACTAGATTTATATAGGATATCTGGTTGGCATGGACGAGTTGGACTGAAGGGTCTATTTCTATAGTTCTCTGACTTTATGACTCTGAGATCAAGCAGGTACTTCAAGAAATAAAGAATGTAATTTTACCTTTAAGGTGAATTAAGCACATTTCTATAGAATGAAAGCAGGTATTTGAAATTTCTTGAGAAGAATTATAGAAGTCTACAGCACAACTGGAGACCGTTCAGCTCATTGGGCAATATTAGTATTTATGCTCCACAAGTCTCTCAACATCTTTCCTCATCCATTCCAATCAGCATATTCTGCAAGTACTTATCTAACTTTCCCCTTAAATACATCAATGCTATTTGCTTCAACTGTTCATTATGGTAGTGGGTCTCCTATTCGGGCAAATAATAGAGGGGAGGTGATGGCCTTGTGGTATTATCCCTGGTCTGTTAATCCAGAGACTCAGATAATGTCTGGGGACCCGGGTTCGAATCCCACCACGGCAGATGGTGGAATTTGAATTCAATAAATATCTGGAACTAAGAGTCTAATGATGGCCTTGAATCCATTGTCGCTTGTTGGAAAAACCCATCTGGCTCACTAATGTCCTTTGGGGAAGGAAACTGCCATCCTTACCTGGTCTGGCCTACATGTGACTCCAGACCCACAGCAATGTGGTTGACTCTTAAGTGCCCTCTGAGCAATTAGGGATGGGCAATAAATGCTGCCTAGCCAACGATGCCCTCATCCCATGAATGAATAAAAAAAATAAGTTTCTGTGGAATATCCTTTTGATTTATAAATTACCAACTTATACTTATAACCTCTAGTTTTGGTATCCTAACAAGCTGATATGATATTCTGAAGAAGGGTCCCGACCCAAAATGTCAACTTTCCTGCTCCTCTGATGCGGCCTCCAGCTCCACACTGTATCTCTGTCCTCTATATGTCTTGCTTTTCAAAACTTTATTTAATCTTACAAGACTACTATTAGTTTTCTCTAGAGAAAAGAAATCTGGTCTGTTCAGCTTTTTCTGATAACTAACTTTTCGCTTTTAGTATCTCCCTTGTGTATCTTCTTCTCACATTCTTCAATGCTTCTGTCCTTATAATGTGGAGACCGGAACTGCCAACAGTTTTCCAAGTGTGACCTAACCAAGATTCAATACAAATTCAGCACAACCTTTCTGCTTTTCAATTCTATCCCTCTTGAAACAAACCATGCTGTTTGCTTTTACTTATTAATAATCTTGTTAAGCCACGTGATTATTTTAGTAATTTGTGCATTCCTAACTCCAGCACCACCACAGAAATCCTTCCTATAAACACAGGAAAGAAATGCTACCTGTATACCTAAACAAGGTTAGTTCAAATTTCAAAAGTTTCTCTTTTTATTGTACAAAAGCTTTACGCGTTCCATTTGCACTAGTTAAACCACTGCACTTAGCAACTGATGGCTGCCTTAATTTCATAGGGATTAATGACAAAGGAGCTACTTGCAACATGCGTGCAATCTATTCCCAAACACTTGATAAGGCTTTGCTGACGACAGTCAAAGTGAGGTTTCAAACAGGTTCAATTGGCTAGTCACACCTCATCAATAATAAGTTTCAGAAT